GGATCTCTGGCATTGGCCTTTTTGGTCCAGGCCAGGTATCCATATTAGCATCACATCGTCTAAACCTAAACTGGCCCTTAAGGGCCTTTTGTTTCTTATGGAGGGACACCAGCAGGCCATGAAGAGAGCCATCCTGAGACAACTGCACTGCCAGACCCTTGGCTTGAAGCTTAAAGGCTAGAAGTGTGGAGCTTTTTCTTATGTTTTATTGAATTTGTGTGCCTTTTATGCAATACATCTTAATTATATTTAGACCTCCCTCCCCTAACTGCACCCTACCATAGCCCCCTGCCAGATATCATACATTCTATCATATATGTTAATGCCTATCAAGTCAAGTTTGTGTCCCCAAATGTCCTTCAGTGTGAGTTCATCCATTGGAGCCTGGTCAGCCTATCTAGTGTCACTCCCTTAAAGAAGACCCGCTCTCCCTCACCCGGAAGTGATCAGTTATATGGTATTTTCTTATGAAAGTGTGAGCAAACTAGACTAAGGCAAAGTCAGAATAAGTGTCTTGGTCAGTTCAGGCTCCTGTAACAAAGTACTGTGGACTTTGGGTTTTGTACAGCTCTGGAGACTGAAAGTCAAAGATCAAGGTGCTGAGTGAGCCCATCCCTGGTGAGGGCCATCCTCCTGGTTTGTCCGTGGCAATCCTCCTATTGGAGGTGGGGTTCTTGTCCCTTCCTCTCTTTGTAAGAACATGAACCACATCATGGGCATTTCTCCCTCATGACTTCTAAACCTAATTACTTTCAAGGACCCCTCCCTTAAATAGCACACAATTGGAGACTGGGACTTCAGTACAGGAATCTTGAAAGGACATAGTCCATAGTGAGCGGTCACACAGGGTTAGTAGAGGAGGTGTTTACTAATAAGACAGGGAACTTATAGGGTGATAGAAATGTTCCACATCTTCATTGGATGATAGTTGCGTGAATTTTTACAGAATATGCATAAAAGCACTGTGATAGCTGATCTTGGCTCTCAACTTGACACATCTGGGAAGACACAACTGCAGAATTACCTCCATCATATTGGCCTGTGGGTATGTCTGCCAGGCATTTTCTTGATTGTTAATTGATATAGGAGGGCCCAGCCCACTGTGAGCAGTGCTATCCCTAGGCAGGTAGATCTGGACTGTATTAGAAAGGTAGCTGAATGTGAGCCCCTAGGCCACATCCCTCCCTGATCTCTGCTCCAAGTTCTTGCTTGAGCTCCTGCCTGCCCCAGCTTCTCTCCATGATGGACTATGACCTGGAAGTATAAATCAAATAAACACTTTCCTCTCCAATTTGCTTTTTGTCAGAGTGTTTCTCACAGCAACATAAAACAAACTAGAACAGGGTGGTGTATGCCTTTAATCCCAGCACTTGGGAGATAGAGGCAGGCAGATTTCTGTGAATTCAAGAACAGCCTGGTCTACATAGTGAGTTCCAGACCAGCTAGGGCTAAAAAAGAAACAAACAAACAAACAAAAAAACTAGAACAGCATTGGCACTGAAGAAAATTAAGTCTGTTGGAAAGAACAAGGGGTTCCTCCCCTCCTCACTCTTCTCCAGCAAATTAATGTGGGAAGACTTATTAATTACTCACCTCACAGATTCTTGCACCACAAGCACAGCGAGAGGGATGGGGGAATCAGCAGCCCTATTGCCCAGGTCTCAGGGAGCTTTTTCAGCTCCAAAAGCAATATCTGGAAGTCCTCAGATTGTAGCCTAGGAGCTAGACTGTGCAAATGCTGACAGCTCATTAAGAGCCTCTGACACTAGGGGAACCGCATTAACTCTTTCGTGTTTCCCTGGAGGCAGCTGTGGCCCAGTTCCTTTGAGAACCAGCCAGAGCCCAGATCTGCTCAGCTGTTAGCACATTCCACCAGGAAAAACAAAAAGGAAATGGAAAAGCCAACACAGAAAGTCTTAGTGAGGATTTAAACTATGCGACTCTGACCCTAAAGACACCCTGCACTAGAGCCCAACAGGCTGAAAAACAGCTTAGTCTTGTCCTTCAACAACTGACCTTTAGGGTTGTGTAGCAATAATGGGGTGTTAACACCTTGGGATAAAAATAAGGACATTCCCCCAGGTGGCTCCCAGTACTTCCTTCCAGAACTTTGTCAATGCTAATGTGATACAGTGAGACACCTCAGAAACACTGGGATTAGAGTGGGTTTGGAAAAGTGGGGGAGATGTGCAGCCCCCTTTGGGGACCCAGGCTGTTTGAAAAAAATGCACACAAAACACACACACATACACACACACACACACACACTTTTCATAAAATCATTGCATTCTGACAAAGGTAATATGTAGCATGTGTGCCCCTTACATCCCCCTCTGTGTTCTTAACCGACATTGTTAATAGATCACAGCACTATTCATTACTGAGACCAGTTCTGGATCCAGCTGGTGCTAGCTCATTAGAGCCAATAGTTAATTAGTTTCCCTAGCCAGTTGTTAAACACATTGGTTAAAAATTTAATTATGAGATTATATTTAAATGAATTGTATCAAAAGCAAAGATAATGGGAGGGTATGGTGGCACACATGGGTGGTAGGCAAACACAGGTATATCTCTGTGAGACTGCTCTACATAGTGAGTTCCAGACCAGCTGGGCCTGAGGGAGTCAGCCAGGGATAGATACCAAGCTAAACTCAGTCGAAACCAGAAGCAAACATAGAGTGCTCCACTATGGCTGGAGGGGCTGGTCAGGCCTTGGAGAGGCTATCAGCCCTGAGTGGCGTGCAGGCTGGAAGCGAGGCTCTAGAGCCAGTGTGGGGTTCTTCCCAGGCCACCTGGCCTGGCTGCTCAGCAGGGACGGCTTGAAGGCCTTGCTTGCAGGGGTCATAGAGGCCTCTAGGCCTGTCCTCCAGGTCACCACTCCTAGCCAACCACTTCCCAGTTCCTACCTTCTTAGTGTCTTTCTCTCTCACTCTTTTTTCCTCTTTCTTTGTCTTTTTAACTTAAATTTACCTCTTCTCTAAACACCTGTGCAGACTTTTCACTAGGCGTCAGAATCCTCAGGAGCCTCTCTTAAGATGCAGATCCTTGAAGATTTGTTAGAGAGATTCCAGAACTGAGCCTAGGAACTGTTGGGGCCTATGAGTCCCTGGGGTAAAACCCCTCCATTTTATTGGCAGTTTTCCCAATAACTGTACCCCTGGAAAAGGCAGTAGAGGCAAATCTGCTGGGGCAGTGTGAAGGTAGGAAGGTCGCCTTGGAGCTGGACGGGCAGGCAAGGCACTGGCACAACCTTTGGGGCCTGGGCTCCTTCTTCAAACACAACTAAGGCTTGCAAGACAGTAACAGAACTTGAACCCAGTGTGCATGTTTAAGTGAAGCTGGGTGCCTGTACCATCTCATACCCAGGAAGCTGCCGGTGGGGTCTTGTATCATCTGAGTGTTTACCAGTGACATCCCAAAATTCCTGGTGTTCAAAGACAAAGGCTCCAGGTAGAAGAGGGGTGAGGAGGATGGCAGGCCCCTGGCCTGACCTTGCTAGAGATGGCATCCAAGGAGGGCCCAACAGGGCAGATCTCTGGAGCTTGAGGAAGTCTTATTTTCTCCCTAGCCCCAGAGCTCTGGCTGGGTCCCCGCTTCCATCTGAAACAGATACAGAGCTACCCTGAGAAGGGAAGAGAAGGGTGAAGAGCTAGGCTCTGTATTAGGTAGCCCAGAGATAAGGGAGACCACAGGTGACCATGTCAATACTGCCAGGGGCTCCAACCCTGCTGTCTCCCACAACCAGCCTTCAATGACCCAGACCTGACTCTTCCCCATTGGTGAAGCTACTCTGCTCCACACTTTATTCTATTTGCATGGGATGTTCCCGGTTTGGGCCATGAAAACTTTGTGGTCCTATGAGCCTGGCAAACCAGGACAGCTAGCCTCCCTATAAGCCTGTCATGCCAAATGACCATGAAGTCCCATTCTGAAAGCACTTGAATTATTATGCTGGGTGGGTGTCTCCAGGGCTACATGGCCATGATCCAGCCATTCAGACCATCAGGTCAGTACATCCAGTTTCATCTTCCTCAATGTCCTCCTCAGTAGCTTATATCACTCACAAACATATACAGTCAGGGCATCTGATTACCAATGACTGTGGCTGGTGACTGAGCCCCCACCTGTGTCTTGGAAGTAGTCCTCAGCTCTGGCTTTGTGGTGGTCGGGGCGGGGGGTTTCCTCAAAGTCCTTGGATCACTTTGTTATACACTTAGCTTGACACCCACTCTTCTAGGGCCAGAAATATGGGCATTAATTGCCTTTTTCTAGAACAGCATTGCAAGAGAAATCATGGCCCTGCCAGGGTCTCTAGCCCACCTCCTAGCAAGAAGAGGGTAGGCCTATACACGAGCATCAAGAAGCAAACTTTCGGGCTGGAAAGATGGCTCAGAGGTTAAGAACACTGGTTGTTCTTGCAGAAGACCTGGGTTCAAATCCCAGCACCCACATGGCAGATAACAACTGTCTGTAACTCCAGCCCAGGGGATCCGATAGAGAGAATGAGGATGTAATGATTAGAAGCTCTCCAATGAGGTTAATTGATGGGGGTAGTGCTAGGTTGGCTAGGCTTCCTAGTATTCATCATACACCTATAAGTGGGAGAATTGTTTGCAGCCCTTGAGCTAGGGCATTGCACGACACGTGTACACTTACCTACATGCAGGCAATGTGCACATACACATAAAATAAAAATAATTTAAAAAAAGAAGCAGCAAACTTGCTTCAAGTTCAAAAGTGTACAGGCCTCCATATGCCATTTTCTGGATTGTCATATCATGTGGCACCCCTCTTGCTGGTTCCTTTAGAAAATTTCTCTCCAGATTCTTGCCAGTTAAAGATGAAAACTCTGAGAACTCCAGGTTTCAAAGACAACTGTGCTGGATAGCTTTAGTTGTTGACTTGACACACCTGGGTTGAGGGAGCCTCAACTTGGGAATTTCCTCCATTGGACAGGCCTGTGGCCATGTCTGTGGGGGCATTTTCTTGATTGTAGAGTGATGTGGGAGGACCCAGCCCACTGTGGGCAGTCCCACCTCTGGGCAGGTGGTCCTGTATTATATAAGAAGGCAGACTGAGCAGGGGCCAGGGGAGCAAGCCAGTAAGCAGTGTTCCTCCATGGCCTGTGCTCCAGCTCCTACATCCAGGTTCTGCTCTGAGTTCCTGGCTTGGGCTCCCTCAGTGATGAACTGTGACCTGCGAGATGCAAGATAAATAAACCCTTTCCTTCCCAAGTTGGTGTTTGTCTCGACAATGGAGAAACAGACTAGAACAATGACGGTCAGGTGGATCTACAAGAACTGGAATGTTCTTGTTCTGTGAATCTAACAATATTCCTTTTGTGGCATAGTCTGCCAGGAGCTCAGAGCTGATTTGTAGCAAATGTAGCTATTGTGCAGACTTTATGCAATAGCTAGTCCGAATGCTAACTTTACTTTAGTTTTCCTTTCTAAGCTTACTTTCTACCCAATGTCTGTGGCTGTTATTTGAATTCATATATAAGGGGCCACAAACCCTTTCAGAAGTGAAGAAGGGTATACTATATTAGCAAATATAATTCAAATGGTAATTATTAGGAAAGCACAGAGGACAGAAACTGCTGGACACTCTAAAGCATACCACACTGATTCTCATGGTGCAAGGCTTCCAATGTTTGATGCAAAGCTGCCTTCCTGGGATGCAATGGCTTTCTCTGTGACTTGGACAGAAAGCTACTCTTGATGGTTAATCTTGGTGGTCAACTTTATTGGATCTGGAATCAACCAAGAGATATACCTCTGGGCAGGTCTGGCAGGGCATCTCCTAGAAGGATTAACTGAGGGAGTAAGACTCCCCACCAGAGTAGGCAGCACCTCCCGCAGTGGCCCAGATAGGAAGAGGGAAAAGCAGTGTTTTCCTGTCCTCCTCTGCTTCTTGCTGGTGAGTGTATCAGTGCTGCCGCTATCATTATCTGACACCAGAACCCATCTTCTTCAGCCTTCCAATATGGACTGGAAATCAAGGGCTCTTTAGGAATCCTCCAGGCCTTTAGCACCTGAGTAGAACTGCTGAGGTACCTAACCTTGTGGACTGAGCAGCTACGGGGCTGTCAGTCTCTCCAGCATTCAGATGGCCACCGTTGGACTCCCCAGCCCATACTGTGTAAGCCAATTAATAAATCCTCTTTGTAATATACCTTCACTCTATCAGTTCTGGTCCTCGAGAGAATCCTAACACAGCACTGAGGCTCACATACACAGGCTGGGGAGAGTCTTTCAGTCTTCCCCCTGAGGCTGTCTTCTGGCCTCTCCCCACCATTTCAAAAAGGAGCAGACAATTGCTTTCACCAGCCCCTATCCTCCTCAGCCAAGGACAGTTATCTTGATTGATTCACAAGCTCAACTCCATACCTTGGGAGAGAGCCTTCACTGTGGCTTGGAGTACTGCCACAGTCAGTGGTTTTAATTAACTAATTTGGTTTCTTTGCAGAGTTTTGAGAAGGCTTTTTAATCAAAATGCAAATATAATCTAAAATTTAAGTAATTATTTTGAGCCAAGAGTACGGGCCAGCAAGGGTACGTGTGGCTTTAAACACCTGAAGTAGTGGCTGTCTGTGGCCTTGTTCTCTATACTTGTAAATGTCAGGAACTTGGCTAGCTCTTGTTCAGAAACTAAAGAGGCTGCATCAGATGCTATGATGATCAATGCGATTGAGAATTTGACAAGATCTAGAATCACCATGGACACAT